TATCTGTTTCTCTGCTGAAATTTTCTATTTACTTTTCTTTAAAATCCTTGTCTGCTAATTCTAACACCTGGTTTAACTTGAGGTTTATCTCTGTTGATTAAGTTTTCTTTTCATTATTGGTCATGTTCTCCTGTTTCTTTGTATGTCTAGTAATTTTGGATTATTTCCTGGTCATTGTGAATAACTCAGTTATACAGGCATACCTCTTTTTATTATGCTTCACTTTATCATACTTCACATATAATTGTGTCTTTTACATATTGAAGGTTTGTGGCAACCCTGTATTAAGCAAGTCTCTTGGCACCATTTTTCCAACAACATTTGCTCATTTTGTGTTTCTGTCACATTTTGCCAATTCTTGCAACATTTCTAACGTTATTGGTATCATCATCATTGTCATCATCATCATCATTTTCACATTTGTTAGGTGGTCAGTGATCTTTGATTTTACTCTTACAAAAAGATTATGAGTTGATGAAGGCTCAGATAATGGTTAGCATTTTTTAGTGATAAAATATTTTTAATTAAGGTATTTATTTTTTTAGACATAACACTACTGCACACTTAATAGACTACAGTCTAGCGTAAACATAACTTTTATATGCACTGGGAAACCAAAACATTTGTGTGACTCCCTTTTTTGCAATATTCCCCTTATTGTGGGGGTCTGGAACTGAACCCACAGTGTCTTCAAGTTAGGCCTGTATTTCTCTGAACAATGTTAATTTTTTGTGTGCTCGTGGGCAGTTAATTTAACTGAACTCAGATTCCAAGTTCTATCTCCCTGGAGTAAGTGGGCAGTGATAATCACTGTTGAATTATTTTAGCTTTAATTGTGATGCTTGAGTCTGCCCTGTTCATGTGTATAGTTCAGGGGTCAGCCAGAACTCACAGCGTTGTTACACAGAATTTGAGGCTTTCACGCTTTCTCTCTCCTCTTCAAGATTTTTCATTTTTCAGATGCCCTAGTGAGCCTAGACTCTGTCCTCTGATTATTTAATCCTGCCGTCAGCTAAAAGCCATTAAAAAAAAAAAAGGCATTTCTCCCAGTGCCACTGTCTTCTTTCAAATGCTGATCCTCTTACAGTTTCTGCTTGCTTTTGATCACTCTTCAGTGCGTTTGAGTTATCTTTTTCCTCCCAGAGTTTATGATTATTACCTGCAGGAGATTTGGTTCTTTCGGAGCTACTCAGCCATCTTCAGGAGCAGAACTCAAAGATTCTTATTTTAGCACAATTTTGCCATAATTTATTGTGATAAAATTTACCATCTCAACCATTTTTAATGTGTACATTTCAATAATATTATATGTATTTACAGTACTATGTGACCAATCTCCAGAATTTGTTTTTTTATCTTTCAAAACTGAAACTCTGTGCCTATTAATAACTACCCCTTACCCCCAGCCCCTGGGAACCACCATTATACTTTGTTTCTATAATGTTGATTACTCTATATACCTCCCAGAAGTACAGTCATACAGTATGTGTCTTTTTGTGATTTACGATAATTCGACTCTATTACTATTGAAATCAACCATATTCATAGTTTTAGGAAGTCAATTAGTTCCACAAGTCTTATGCAAAGATAGTGGCATCCACTACAACTCCTTCCTGCTCCCAGTTTATACTCTTTAGAGAGAAAAGTTTTGACTGTTTGAGTTGTTTTTAAATCTGTTCCTTGTAGTATTTATATCCATATTTCTAAATATCACATTTAAGTAGGCATTAGGTATTGACTTTCTGCTATGAAAGATAATACAGCTGTCACAGACGACCATCCATGTGCTCTCTTTTTTCTCCCTTTTCTCTCCTTCTTCCCTCTCCTTCTCCCTCTTCCCCTCTCTCTCTAACATACACACCCACACACATGCTTTCTCCTTTCTTCCATCCTCTGTTCTCTCAATATAGTTATGTCACAATTTGTTTACAATAGAACTGTAAATATTTTCTACACAGCTGAGCTATGTACTGTACAGTTATTAAATTTAATTTTTATATAACAAATTATCTTCTCTTGAATTTATAAATGCCTTACTTAATTTTACATGTACTCATTCATTCATTAACTCATTCAGATATTTATAAAGTTTCCTACCATGTGCTAGGGGCTTTCCAGACTTTGCGGGGAATATAGCAGTATACAAAACACCAAAGTTTTCAGCCTCATGCAACTTACCTTCTCATGTCTTTTCATTCTCAAACACACCCAGCAAGTATGACTGTCTGAATGTGTCCAGACACGTCAGTTACTCCATCATAACTCTTCATTTTTTAAGAAATATCCTTTTTGGAGCCTTCCGTAATTCTGCTCTAGTCTGAACTGGTAATTCTCTAAGCTTGCTGTCTACGAATTTCATCCTGAAATTTTCCTTACCCATCGTCCTGGCAATTTTCTTTCCTTTTCTGTGCTATCTTCCTCTTTTGCTGGATCACATGTCCTGTTTTTGGTTTATACTCATCTTCCTGAACCATGTCCTTCAATAGCTCACTGACATGGAGTACAGAGGCAACAATTTTTTGAGACTTCATACCTCTGGAAAGTGTTTTACATCCATCTTCACATTTAATATATAGTTTAGCTGCAGATAGAATTCTTGGTTCATAATTACTTTTTCTCCGAAGAGACTGAAGGTTATGTTCCATTATCTTCTAGTTTCTGGTGTTACCATTAAGAAGTTTGGTGCAGTTTGATTTGTTATAGTGGCAATAGAAAGCTAATACGGATACTAACTTATTTCTTATAAATGGATGGTAATCCATGGTTCCTACATACACCATAACTTAGC